GAGGCTGAGTTGCAGGCTGAAAGGATATTCCTGCTAAAAAAAAAAAAAAAAAAAAAAAAAAGAATAGGCCAGGACTGGTAGGATTTTCCAGCAACTCGGTCAGGCCCTGGGAACAGGCAGGCTTTGTAGGCAGACCAGTAGCGGTCAAAAAGCCACAAGGGTTAGGGCCCGTACCTACCAGCGTACTTGGCTAGACACGGGCCCTGAGGCTGAGTTGCAGGCTGAAAGGATATTCCTGCCAAAAGCAGGCACACCCAGTAGGCCTACTGCACTTAAGGGAGGCCGGGTAGTGCTGGGTAGTGCTCGGCCAGGAGGTACTAGAGGCCGGGCAGCCAAAGTATATGAGTGGGTGTAGTGACGAGAGGCACACACTTCGGTTCATTCTCCAAGTGAGCATTATGCTGCTCCCCCCAGGCGGTGATGCTGGCGGAGCACTTGGAGGTGAAGGTGAAGTTGGCGGGTGATGGTGACCATCTCGATGGTTGTGGAGTAATATTGAGAGGTGGGAGAGGTAAGCCTAGGCTATGGAGGTGAGGGTGATGGACGTGGACCCTTAGAGATAGGAGGTGGAACCAGGAAGGAGACTCAGCTTTGGATATGGCGGACCTTGATCACGACTTCAGTAATTGGTGCAACATCTAGAAGGCCCCTGAATGGGTACCGGCTGGGCTGGGACTTCAAACGAGAGTATGGCTATGGCGGGTAGAGATGGGAGAGGCAATGTAGAGGTTGCATTGTCCTTTGAACATCCGTGATGCACCTGGATGTTCCACCATAGCTAGGAATGCCACCAAGTGAGGAAGAGTGAGCTTATGGCTGCAAGGAGGGTTCTTTGTGTGCTGGCAATAAGGGGGAGTATTTGGAGATTGACTTTGGCCCTTCCATTCATTGTTGTTTATTATTATTGTTAATAAGGGGATGGAGAAGATGATGAGGGGGATGATGATGGATATGCTGGGGGGAAGATGACATTGGTTCCAACTTGTTTTTATCTTCTTCTTCTTCTTCTTCTTCTTCTTCTTCTTCTTCTTCTTCTTCTTCTCCTTCTTCTTCTTCTTCTTCTTCTTCTTCTATTCTCCATTTTTCTTTCTATCTTCTTGTCTTTATCCTTCTTCCAATCTCTTTCGTTGAGTTGCAATGGAATGACATTATCTCTTTGTGAGATTTTGCATTGGGAGTTGACCAAGGATTATGGCAATTGGTATCAGAGCTAGACCTTACATGCTGGAGGAAGGTGATTGAGCTTCCCTAACCCTAATCCGAGTTAATTAGGGCAAGTTAATATCGGATGAGGGCTGAAGGGGTTACGTAAGGTTGGCGAGTGACTTTGCTGGTACCCCAGCCCTAATTCTGAGAGGTGTTCGGCCCTATATACCTCGGATTAGGGTGAGGAAGGTTGTTTTGAAGTGGCGAGTTGCTAGCTTGGTGCCCAAATCCTTGTCTAATAGGTGTGGAAGTCATTGTACCTCCTACTAGGATTGGACGGGAAGGATTAGGGTGGCGAAATGAAGAGGGAGGAGGATATGAGTTGCGTTGAGAGGGAGGAGCGGAAGGAAGCGGCCGCATGTGGAGGACATCCATGAAGACAAGGAGTTGGCCTAGGAGCCTTCTTCGTCTACGGCGAGGGAGGAGTCCATTGCTGCAAGAGCACAGGAGGAGGCAACTTGTTCAAGTACCAACCGGTCCCGCTGGGCGCAGGGACGGCATGCGGTGAATTCCAACTGGTTCTAGCACGCTGTAGGGGTAGGACAGTCCCAATAGGGGGAGGAAAGAGGTAGACAGGACTAGGGAGAGGGGATATGACTTACCGCTCTCGAGTTGTATGTCAGCTGATCAGGTGTCCGCGTGACGGAATGGATGCCCTAGATGGTCTGGCTCTGTTGTGTAATGCCTGATCCAATAACGTATGGACGTTTGTGAATGAAGTCCTGATCTGTCTCCACACTTCATTTGTCATGGCTTTCCTAGCTTTCTTGCCAAGTTGTCTTGCTTTCTGTTGCAAGCTGCGATCTTTTTGCATATCTATCGCTTTTAGTTGATTGCACTTGATGTAGGTAGGCTAGGTCATCCTTCCTAAAGGAAGAGCCGATTGTTGCTAAGGTTGAAGCCGGTTGGTGGGAGGGTCTGGTCACTCACTGCTCGCTTTGCTCCAAAGATCTTCAACGGACGGTAGCCACTGGGAGTTGCATAATCTTCTCAGCTCCCCAAGGGGAGGGCAACCGTTGAAAGTACAGGGGGCTTTGATCTGGGCGGTGGGGATCAGGATACCATCCTAATGGCCTAGCTAGATACTATGGCAGGGGTTGGGTCTTCTCCAAAGGCTGGACGCAAGTCACGCTGGGAGGGATCTTGATGTCTCTTTTAGTCTTTGATATATGGTGTGCCTTGCTCAGTCTCCAATTCCACACCTCCTACCCCGCTCATCTCTCATGTTTTCTGATCTCTAATGTGATATGACCGCTGCATAGGACCTTGCATATGGCCGGGGGCCGTGGAGGAGTTGATTCCGTGTTTTAAACTGTTTTTCCATCAAACGCATGCCGACTATTTAATTGTCCTTTGTTCCTCTTCCGTCTGAATTAGTTGATGCTCCAGCTAGTACAAACCTAACTGTATGGATGAGTAGTACGAACCTAACTGTTAGTAAACAGGTCATGAGTTCGGGTGCAATTTAGTCAGATCTGTATGTGCATTTTTTTGCTTTGATTTTGCGGGCGAGTGTGTGGTCATACCATCAAGTCCATACGGTATGACTCTTCCCACATGGCACCTCCTGGTCCACATCGTGCCACCCACCCACATAGTATCACCCAGCCCACATAGTACCACCTAGCCATGCCATGGGCTGAGTTGTGCCTCTTTGTGTGTGTGTGTGTGTGTGTGTGTGTGTGTGTGTGTGCGTGTGTGTGTGTGAGAGAGAGAGAGAGAGAGAGAGAGAGAGAGAGAGAGAGAGAGANAGAGAGAGAGAGAGAGAGAGAGAGAGAGAGAGAGAGAGAGAGAGAGAGAGAGAGAGAGAGAGAGAGAGAGAGAGGGCTCTTTCAGCGCTAGGGTGAATCCCCAGGGTATAGTACTCCTAAAGACATGTTGAAGTCAACATTGATAATAGCTGAGGCACGGTCAATCCACATTCATCCACACAAAGACCATATATGTACGTGCAAGGTCCTGTTCAGCTTGATCATCCACTCCTCATTTATTCTTTCCATTGTATGCAATGCCTTGCCATCTTAGGGGTGAAAACTCCTAGCAGCCAAGCTCAGAGGCAGAGACTGCGTTCTTTCACAAGCAGTGGAAAAGATCCTCATAACAAGGTTCCTTCAGAACCCTTATCTAGGTGGATCCTGATCTTTTTCTTACACGCAGCTTATCGACAAAGCAGGTTTAGCAAATAAAGAAACGAGTGAGGGAGGTGAATGTTCTACTTTTCCAAAGAGACGTTGGGAGAGTAGCAGTGAAATGTGTTCCTCTTCGCATTCCCTTGTTCACAAGAAGGCGCCTCAGGAGAAGAACTTAAAGAAGGGTCCCACTGGGATTCACTTGGTCTGAGACTTTTCCAAGCTCACCTATAATCAGAGTATGATTTTGCTCCAGAGCCACCCCACCATCATTTCTGAGGCCTTCTACCTTACTCTCAATAGACTCAGTGATGAGACCCACAAGCAATGCAAAGAACACCAGTCCAACGACTGTTAACGGAAAGGCGACGATCCTCTTCATGATAGTTCTCTGCAAAGACAATCAGTAACCATGGTTAAATGATTGACAGCAGACTGAGTAGAGCATTGCCCTGCCATTCATTGTCTCAGCACCCACCCAGGCACCCTGGCTCTGATTATTCCAAAAGAGGGTCCCACACCAACACTCCCCTTGCCTGTGCACTTGTGATCTTCTTAGAAGTCGTAACCGCTCTAATGCTATGGCCAGCAGTTTGGGCAAGACCTTGTAAATGACATGATAGGTAATAAGAGGAGTGGCAAGATAGTGAAAGGAAAATCAAAGGTACTAATTGTGTGGGGCTTACTCACCGGGGGGAGCGAGGGGGATGGGTCGGCTCCTAGAGGGACCCTTCTTATCGACAGGTGGGGCGACTCCTAGCGAGACCCTTCTTATCAACGAGGACGAAGTGACAGGGTGCATGATTGTCTCCTTCCCCCTTCCTTGCCCAACGATGAAGGCCGCGGATTCGGGCACTCCCGCCTCGTGCCGCAGGCGGCGCCGGCCCCGACACCCCCCTCCTTGCTGTTTGCTGTCCGAGATTCCAGACCCGCTATCTTTTCACTTGATTGTTATCTGCTTGCCGGGGATGAGTAACCGGACTGTCGTCCCCCAGAACAGAAGGGGCTCTTTGTTTTGTGTAAAAAAAAAAAGACCTTGTAAATGACAGGCAGCGAGGTACTGGGCTTTTTTTCTTTATTTTTTCAAACAAGAAAGAATCAGATTTTGTATTAATAATGCTGGAAACCGGACCTAACGTCCCTTACATCAGTCTCCCAGTTATGGTCGAGAGATCCTGAGACAGCGGAATTGAGGATTTACCACCGTTTTGGCCCAGCTTGTCTGTTTGTGGCTGGTCGAGAGATCCTGAGACAGCGGCATTGATTGTTACCTGATTGGGAGGATTTACGACTGTTTTGGCCCAGCTTGTCTGTTTGTGGCTGGGCTGGCCTTCGTCTTTACTACTCTTTAGTGATCAAGGAGGTAGGACCTTGGCCACTATTCGGTCCAGGTGCTGTTGCTGATACAGCAAGGACCTGGACATCGATAGGGATCCAGGCCACACGTTTTTGGGCCTGAGCAAGGAGGTAGGGCCTTGGCCACTGTTCTGGGCCATTGGCATCGGAGTTCGATCCGATGCCCCAGGAGAGAGGCCAGGTGGAGAGTCTGGCAAGTTTGGCTGGCCTAGAAGTACTTATAGAGGAGGCCATCCAGTAGGTGGTTCGTTCATTCACATGTCACCATAAGGCTGTAGGATTGGCAAGAGGAAAAGCCCAGTGATTGACTAGAGTAGTAGTGCTGAGTAGAGGTAGGAGGTGAGGAGGTACAGCCGAGGAGTCCACTTACATGGTGCCATTCCTTGGAAGTCTGGCACTGGCCATAGACAGATACGATAAACCTTTTGGGGGGGGG